TCTGGTATGTTTCCATTTCTTGGAAATTTCCTTGAACCTAAAAAACAGAAGGCTTTTGGTTCAGTTCGTTTTTGGTTCTGACCTCTCTGTTTACTAGTGAATATCTCTAGTTTATGATACCTGCGTGTCCTGAGGGTCTGAGGCAGCCAATGTCCTCTGGCTCAGCCTCCACACCTCCTCAATCGTCCTGCTCCATTGGGTCCTCCTGATTTAGGTCGGTTTCTGGAATATAAATACGCATCATGCTCTAGCTTCTTTCTTTCTTTCTTCCTAAGGCACACACAGAGCAGCTGGGTACAATCGTCTCTCAGATAAACACAAGCTGTAAGTTTTCCTTATTTATGAATAACACACAGTTTGAAATTGCTTTTACAACTGGATACAAATTTCATTAGATAAATTCAGATATTTCTGCTGGATGCAGAATTCCCCATAGCTATCCTCAGCTAGGCAGCCTCTCCATGGTACAAGGAAATCATAGTAATAACCACTTTGATCCTTAGGTGACTTCTAGTTCTAAAATCGGCTCTTTAAAATTAGAGAGAGACCTGTTCAGTTTCCCACATCACACACACGCAACCTCTGAACAACTTGGAGATTTGTCTGTCCTGCCCTGTACAGCGTATCTGCCCCCAGAGCCACTTCAGAGAAAAAAAAAATGATGACGGGGAATTACGTCTCTTTCTATAGATAATGAGGATGAATATTGATGGATGCTTACTGATGGCAAGGCAGGGCACCGACTGCTTTATATTCAGTATTTCATCTAACACTCACAAATACCATACACAATCATGACTATCATTGCCTGTACTTACAGGTAGGGAAACTCAGGGTGATCACAGTTAAGGGGGGTATTATGTAAAATCACCCAGAAGTAGATTTCAGAGGTTGGATTCAGGTGGACTCTAGTCTCTATGTTCTGACCCACCCCCCAGTAAAACAAAGGCTTTTGATTGACCTACATCACAGCTGATAAGTTACAGAAGAAACAAGACTTAAACCTGCCCCTGATTCCCCATCAGGTTCATTAAAGGGTAAGTAAGCAGAATTTTCTTAAAACAAAACTGATATAATTCACAGTCACACACCCTAAAAATCTTAGAATCTAGTCAAAAGCTGAAACGTGAGCGAGCAGAGGAAATACATTGAGATAATGTGAAAACAGTGGACTCACTAAACTTTAGAACAGCGTAGGTTCTGAAGTTTAAACTGGTGGGATTCATTTCTAATTTACTAACAAAGGCAGAGGGGCCTCTAGATTTGGGGTGAGGGTTCCACGGATCACATACTCCCCTGACCCCACCCACACAGAGCAGATGGAGAGAGACTTTTATTCCCTTTTCCCCTGCAACAGGGAGCCTAACTGGGACACCAGTGTCCTCGGGCTCTGATGTGACTTCAGCCTCTTTCCTCCTGCCTCCAGCCCACGGCTCCATCCGACTGTCTCATACAGCATTTTACCCACTCTTTCAACTTCTGCCTCCCTAAACCTATTTCTTCTGGATTCATCCCCATCACCAGATATTGTGCCACTTCAAACTCAACCCCCACCATTTTATTTTCTCAGTCTCAACATCTAGACTCTCAGGAAGCCTTGGCCACAGTGCTTCCACAGCACCCTCCTCATCGTTCCCTGTTTCTCCATCACCGTGGTCACCATGGTCACCAACATCATGTCTTCCCTCTTCTACTCCTGAGTCCACTTCGTGTTCTTGAAGCCCCTTCTCTTCATGACAAAGTGATATCTTAAAGTTCATCAGATCATGTCACCTCCCTGTTTTAAGTCCTCTGAAGCTATTAAACTTCACTGGGTCCAACTTGTATTTTCTAATACTAGTCACCCTAAATATCTCGATGTCTGTAAGACCTGAATCAAAGCTTAGGTTGGCCCATGGGGCAATTAAATCCTCTCATTTGTATTTTTTTTTTTACATGCCCCAAGTTGTCATCACAGGAAAGTGGGAATTTTGCTATATAATGATAATTTATGATTACTAAGTGCTTCCATGGTGCCAAGTCCTTTGGCAAGTGTCTCATTAGTTGTCACCCTGTATTAATCATGTTTTGAGTTATTTTTTTAATTCTGTATTTTATGATGCTTTGACATCTTGGAGGCTTTCTAATTCTGGACTCTACAGGGCTAGCTGTTTCCAGAGATAGCAAATGACTAGCCTTCAACCTACCATTCATATGCAAACCAACCCATTAAGAGCCCACAACCCTAAGCACCTTCTCTACCCAACTGTCACCAAGCCAGTGCTTCCCCTGCCCTGAGTCACCCCAGGGCCAGGTACTGGACAACTGGAGGATACGGGGAGAGTCTGAGGCTGTCACAATTATTCAATGCTCCAACCCTGTATTCGATCAAGCTCACCCACCCTGCCTTGTCCATTCCATCACCTGGAAACCACCATAAAACCTCTGGACCTGACCTTCTCCTTGTTCCTTCTGCTTCCTGGTGCTTCCCCAAGTGACCCTGCGTGGCGTGGCATGCCTCCTCCTCTGGGGAACACCAAGGGATACACTCCCTTCTTTCAAGGCAGTGTTCCATGTCTGCTATCGTAACTCACCTATCTTCCAACCTAATCTTGGGAATATTTCACAATACCCCCAAATCCTATGAAACAAGTGAGACAGGCATACCAGTCACACAGCAGAAGGGTCGAGGAATCAGTGTCTGAATGGATGGTCCAACTGCAGAACCAATAGGCCGAGTTCTCGAATCCATCTTCATTTTATGTGTCTTTATGTATGTCATCATATATCCAAGCAAGGCATAACTGCTTGGGTCTCCCTACCACAGTGTCAAGTCAAGCATTTCATAGAAATCTGCTGATATAAACTATAAAGGAGCTCACCACCTTTTCCCTTTCCCATCTCAGTCTGGGTTGGCCTTCTAGTATCTCAAAGGATATACTGGTCACTAGCAATGCCTTACAGATGAATGAATTGCCCCCACTAAACTGTAGACAGGCGGAGATTCACACAAAAATCAACCCCCTTCTGTTATTTCTCTGATTCACTGGCTCTTAAGTTCAATCCACTTATTCACCCACAAATACTGAACTAGCTAGAAAACCCACTCACAGAAGAGAAAGATGACAGCCTCATTCTCTAGGACTCCAGATAGCTAGAGCTGGGGGCAGTCAGCCCTGCAAAACATAAAAAAAGTTGACCACTTCCCCAAGGGCAGGATTTTCATGTGTTAGGAATATATACTGTCTCGCTTCATCTTATCTCTGCCTCTCTTCTTGCCCCACCTGTTCTCCTCGCACCTGGAATCTCATGTTCTTTTCTGCTTTCTTTTCTCCTCCAACAACTCCTTTCATCTCAAGCAGTCCTACACAGGCTGATCCAGCCTTTGGGAGCAGCCCAGCTGCAGCTCCCGAGAAGCACTAGAACCGGCAGGGGTGTGAGTCGGCTGTGTCATCCGTGTGCCCGCAGCCAAGTGGACGGCTCTGCGTGGCTTGAGTGGCAGGCTGACCCATCCCCACGGCTCACACCCTCGGTGTTCAAGAGACAAACTCTGTCACTGAAGAAAATTGTAAGCCCAGCCTCAATTCTCCCCTTTGCACGATTGAAGTCCTTCCAGGACATTGACAGTGGACAAGAACATCTCCGAGTTTAGAGGGTTATGTGCAATGTGTATACAGAAAACCCAGCTACACTCAGCTCTTAAGGAAAGATGCGTGTCATTAAAACTGGTGGATGATCCTGGAATAAGTTGTTAGGCTGCTCTCTGAGGCCTTGCCTCACCTCCTAGCATATATTACCCCTCCTGGCAGGGAGTTCACTGGGAAGCATACTGCTCATCTGCATTGTTAATGCCTGCTTTCTGGGAAGGAACTCCAGGTACTTTCACTCTACTAAAACATACACATGTGGCATAACTAGAGACAAGTGTTCTTTCTTCCTGAGGTCCCATGCATGCTCTAATTAAAAACTTTAGACCTGGGATATGTGTAGTTACCTTTTTACAGGGGGTATAGGATGGACAGCATTTATTTATATTGTCTGTTTATCATAGTATAGTATATAGTTGTTTAGTCGCTAAGTCGTGTCCGACTCTTCAGGACCCCATGGACTGTAGCCCATCAGGCTCCTCTGTCCATGAGATTCTCTAGGCAAGAATACTGGAGTGGGTAGCCATTCCCTTTTCCAGGGGATCCTCCTGACCCAGGGATTGAACCCATGTCTCCTGCATTGGCAGGTGGATTCTTTACCACTGAGCCACCAGGGAAGCCCATGGTATATTGTATTATAGTATCTGTGTCCAGTCCTTTATAACTGAGAGCAGGTAGCATGCTTTTGTGCCCTTCAGCAATGAACACAATCCATGGCAAGAGTTTACAGCTTATTTCTGAATTACATTTCATTGGAACAGTTGTTCAGAGCCCAGGCTAATATTGCAAAAGGATTTGAGTACCAATACAGTAAAGCAAAATGCACCTAGCAACTGTTCAATTATGATTATGATACAAGGGCAGGAGCCACACAATAAGGTGTGGCTTTTGCCAGGGGAGCAGAAAGAAATCCTCTCAACAGGCCCAAGGAAAGCCTTCAGTTCTTGACCAGAAGACATGCGTTGGCACTCCAAACTGACAGACGGGTTCTAAGAATGCCCTAACCACCAGTTCCTCTCCAGATGCATGACGGCGCCACTTCACGTTGTGAGCATAAAGCAACAGACGGATTTTGTAAAAGTCAGTCAATACTTTTTAGGATCTCTCTGTGTTTTTCTCAGCTCTTGTATGCTTACAATGAGATCCTTGGGTAGTAATGTGGAGTAGGATGGAGACGATTTTGCACGTGATGCGCTAGAGAGACATTCAGATTTGCCATTTGGAGAGAGAGACAGAGAGAGAGCAAGTCTAGGGCCAGGAGTATTTCCAAGATGGGTCACCGGAAAAGAAAGCGCTCCGCCATCTCGCCAGAGCCCAGGAAAGCTGTCTGGGATGGGACTGTAGCTCGGCCACGTGGAGTGGGGACGGCAGAGCGGCGGACGCCTCGCACNGCCCGGGCTGCGGCGAGGACGCCAGGCACCCACCGCTCCGGAGGATCGTCGGACTTGGCCGCGGCTGCGGGTCCCCGCGGTGGAACTTTTTACCGCCTTGGCGTTCCAGATCGGAGACTCGGGCTGGTTTCTAAATACATCTGTACATATGTGTGATCTAATAAAACATTCTCTCCTCTCCTTGAAGCGGCAGCTTTTTATGACATCTCCTTTATGTCAGAGACACTTGCCTGGCTTCTTTGGGTTATAAACTTTTGATGCCAGACCTCGGCAGGACGTGCCCAACTGAATGTTAAAGTAGCATCTCGAAGAGAGGCAGAGAAAGAGCAACCGTGACCTTCATCCCCGCACCTTCCTCCTTCCTCTCCCTTCCCGGCCGCCTCCCTCCTCCCCAGGGGAGCGTCGAGAAAGCGCTTTTTTGGATGCAGGAGGGGGCATCTGGTTGTGCCAGGCTGGAAAGCTGAGGCAGGATCCGAGGAAGAATCAGTAGACTCCGGAGAGCCTGGACTCCGCTTCTCCTTACCCCCTTCTCCGCTTCTGGCTGGTTCCAGCCCCTGCCTCCCTCCCCGCGCGGCTGCCCGAGACCCGCCGGCGTGCGGGGCGGGTACCAGGACCGAGCCGCCGCCGGAGTTCTGGGAAGTTGTGGCTGTCGAGGATGGGGGTCTGTGGGTCCCTGTTCCTGCCCTGGAAGTGCCTCGTGGTCGTGTCTCTCAGGCTGCTGTTCCTTGTACCCACAGGAGTGCCCGTGCGCAGCGGAGATGCCACCTTCCCCAAGGCGATGGACAACGTGACGGTCCGGCAGGGGGAGAGCGCCACCCTGAGGTAGGGAGCTGTACTTCGCCGGGGGACTGAGCCCCTCGGATGGGTTTCGGTGGGAGCTGGTGAGCGAGAGGACCGGAGACCTGCGTGGGGGGCGAGCGTGGGAGAGGGCTTTTGAAGGCCCAAGAGGTGCCCACTTGGCATTCTGTGGCAGCTTGGACCCGTTCTCCTGGACCGCTTGGTCATTCGCTGTGGCTTCTCTGGCCCCGGGTTTTCGGAGCGAGTCCTGAGGTCCAGGCTTGGGACTGCATGTATCCATGAGGCAGTGGTTAGACTTGGCACAGCGATGCGAGCCCTGGCATTGAAATCCCGCGGGCTGAGCCTGGGACCACTGGTGCCCTGGGGGCTGTCTCACAGTCGGGAAGGTATGTGGTGAGGCACGGTGGTCCAGAGATGGCTGGTTGGCCTCTATCAGCGGGATACCTGAAATTTCCGGCTCTGGAATTGCCAGCTGCTGGGCCCGGGCCCTTTATGAGTCTGCAGCCATCCATGCCAACCTCGTGTGCTGCTCCTGGGGCCCCGATTGTAAATTAGGAGGGCAGTTTTATCTTTGCAGGCTCGGCCCAGGGAGAGGAAACATGTCTCTTTTATGCAATGACAACACTCCTGTGTGAAAAGCACAATAGGAAAGCTTTTTGTTTTACCTTAATGAGTTACAGAGAAGCACTTACGGCTCCAGGCAGAGGGGTGGAGATTCTTGGAATATGAACCTTTAGGGACCCGGCCTGCTGCAGCAGAGACTTTAATAAAAATGCAGCCACCACTTTCCACCAGCTCAGCAGATATCATCTTTTATCCCTTTAATGAGGCAGTTCTGGTCCTCGGAGACAGATTCAGGGACGTCCCAGCTTAACTCTGCTCACAGTGTGCACGGGGTGAATGCATTTGCCCTGCCTGTGACTTTGATGGTTAAAGTGGAAATAAAACATCGTGCCCCAGATTCTGCAGCCAGAAGCCTGTCAGCTCCAAGGAACGCGTGAGGGTGGGGCTCGGCCCTCGACTTCCTTGATTGCACCCTCTCAGCCCAGACGAGCCTCTCCCTGGGGAAGGAAAGGAAGGCCTCATGCGACCACTGCTCTTCCTTCCTAAGCCCAGGCGTGAAGGTTGATGCTTGCCATCTGGGTGGTCTCACCGTGTTTTCTTTTGAGCCCAAGGACAGGTCCTAGAACCCTGTCTGCCGGTGCATGGGGTCCCAGAAGGAGGGAGAAAAAACAGGATGGAGACAGACCTCCTTTCTAGACCTCCAGCAGGAGGGAACCCCTCTGGCCTGCCCCGGAGTAGAGGGAGTATAATGTGCATACTTCCTTGCATCAGAGAAATCCCGGGGTGAGGGGCTGGTCCACGCCCTGTAAGGCACATGCGCAGAGGGTCAGTCTGCTCAGAGAGAGGAGTAACAGCCAGGCTACGGTGCGTGTTACTCCAGGCGACGTGGGGAAATGGTGGTGGGTGTTAAGGGATGCCAATGCTATGTGCCTCTCTCTCCATCCTCCAAACTCATACCCTCTTACCAGGGACAGGGAGACTTAGCACAGGATAAGGTCTCAGTGCTGAACTTTCCAAAATCCTCTGGCCTCTTGTTGCCCCTGAAAGTTAAAGCTTTCTGGGCTGCAGTAACACCGAGATCCACCAGCAGAGGGCCAGCTTTGATCTGCCTTTTTATTAGCTGCTGGCCTGTTTTCATGATCTTCAATTCTAATGTTTAGCAGCTGGGCTTCGTAATGGGAATGGGAATAAAAAAGGGAAAAGCTGAATGGTTGCTTTTTGTGCTTTGTGGAGAAAAAAACAGAAACCTTACATATTTGAATATAACTGTTATCTGTTACCTGACGGCATGCTTTATTTATTATTTTTTTAAAGTAAGCCCATCTTACGTTGATTTTGCCTCTTGACTTCTGTATATGTTGCCCTGAAATAGAGAAATTCAGTGCATTGTCCCCATTTTAATCTTTCTGCATTCTCTTTCTTTTACCACTCATGTTTTCCACTTTTATTACATTTTCTTTCATTTCTGTCAAATGTCTCCATTGTAGATGCTTTTGCGTGTTATCCATTCTTGTCTTTCATCACTGAATTCTTACTATTCCCTTACTTTTTAAGGTTCTGATTTCACTACCATCGCAGTGTTTCCTAAAATAACATCAGTAACTCTCACAGATTTCTGGGGGTCTCAACCTCTCCCCTTCTGTTCTCCGTGCTCCTTTGGTTTCTTGGCTTGGCAGCTGTGTGCTGGTCTCAATGAAAACCTTGTTTGTCAGGACTCTGAGGGGGCGGGCATCCTGTTTTCCGTCTCTGGAAGTCCATGGCCTCAACCCCAGATAGATGTGTCATCTTGTTGGTTTTTTTACTACTAAAAAATTGTAATTCTTAACCATGGTCACCCTCTAATCTCCTAAAAGGTGTACCATTGGGAATTCTGTATTTGGGAATTTAGTGTTCTGAATGCATCAGATGTTCAGAAGGCATTGAAAACACTGAGTGATTCCTAGGTCCACTAGTTAAAGCCACAGAAAGTCTGTTCATATGTGGCTGCCTCGGATCAAAGTAATCCAAGCCTGTTTCTCAATCTTGAATGAAGTCACATAGGAGGTCGAAGACCGACCAGGAGAAGCCAAGGGAAGGAGAAAGCTCGGTCCTCTTTTGAAATTTCCAGTGAGACGCTGCTCGGCTTAGAGACGGGTGATCTCCTTCCTGGGAGGCATGTTTTGTGATGCCAGGTCTTTGATTGAACGTGGAGGGAACTCATTTAATGTAGAAGACGCAATATTATCTTCCTCATAACTACTTCACAGGGCTACTTGAAAAGTAAAAATAATTATGTGACTATGGAGTTATTTTGCCTTCTTGGAAGAGAGATGATATGGAAAATGAAGGTGGTATTCACAGTGTCTGAATTATAGCTGCAATGAATCTGATTTGAATTCATTATTACAAATGGGCCCTCTTGGCCAGAATCATTTCATTACAATTATCTGCTGTTGGGTTAAAAATGTTCTGTGCCTCTGCATTAGATGAGATATGATAAGTGTCTAGAAGTCCTGTGTCTGAATCACTGCCCACATCAGGAAGGGAGCCCGGGATGCTTGGTGTGGTCAGCTGGTGTCTATTAGGCTATTTCAGTGATGCAATGCTCCCCAGATGTGTTTTCTTCCTGGACCTCAATCTTCTCTAAATTTGCTTCGGTTTTGCAGTGGACCGCATCATCCGTGTCCGTGAACATTCTGAGGGGGTTTCAGTAGGCTGGAAGTGGGGGTTGTTGCTGTAACTGTTCTGCTAAGTGGGAAAAGTTCCCACCAGCAACCTGGGGAGGGTTTTTTTTTTAAGCATGGCAGGATAATCAGTTTTGCTGATCCAGGCTGGCTGATCTGGGATTATGCTTAGAAACTCTCGTCTAAAATACCCTCGCATTTTCATTTGGAGTTCTGAGCTAATCTCTTTGGAACCCAGTATTTGGAGGTTAACCCACTGCCAAGGAGGAATCTGAGCAGCAGGATTTTGCCAAAGTCACCGAGACAGTCAGGCTCCCAGGGAGGCGTCCTGTCTTCTCCTGGGTGTTTCTCTGCCTTTCACCCTCTCCATCAGCAGCTTTTCTTTTTGTGTACATTAGAACATTCAGAAGAGCCCCTCGGTTATTCCAAACAAGGCCACAGCACGTGAATTTCAACATTTCAGTTACCTAAACTGAATAAAGACTTCGATTGGGTCAATGGCTTCGCTCTTGGCCTGAGAAGATGGATTCAGACATGGACCCAGGTCCAAGTCCATACAGGGCCACTCCAACTGCAGTCCTAACCCGGGCTTCCCTGGAGTTACTGGAGATGCATTTTAGATGTTCCATGGCCAGGATCCCAGACCAATGAAAGCAAAATGTCTGGAGTTGGGCATGGGCATATTAAAGATCTCTTCTAGTATTTCTTATGTTGAAAACTGCTGCCCCAGAGCCCTTTCCTGCCCCAGAGCATCTGAGCAAGGCTGGTCTCCAGTGCCCCTGCCCACACTCACGTAACCCTACCTGCGTGCATGGACCTCACCACTCACGGCTGCTGTATTGCCTGAGAAGGAACACCAGGCCTGGGGGCCTGCATACCCATTTGGGCTTGATTTTTGCTCCTCCCCTCACCTGCCAAATGATTTTGAGCACTTGAATTCATTTATGTACCCTTGGGGATGGTATCTGCCCCATCTATGGCATAGGGGAGATGAAAGAGATGGTGTTATTATGCTGATTAGAAAGCAACACACAAGTGCAGGTTGTTATAGGAGCCAAACAAAAGCTCAGTGATGACCTGTGATTCTCTGTCTGTGATTCTGGGTTCATTTCTCTCCCCCCGCCCAGCCACATACGGAGCTCTAGAATTCTCCTCTCTCCTTCCCCCACACAGAGCCCTAGAATTCTCAGTCCTTCCCCAGTGCCAGCCAGCTCCCTGCTTTCTGCTCACGGTCAGGACTCACCCTCATCTGAGCCCCCATAACGCCTGCTGCAGATCTTTGTTCTGATGGATACACACCCTGGACTCGTCAGTTACATGTGGGTGTGGTTGGACTGTGAGTTCCTAGAGGCAGGAGGCCATGACCTAGGTGTTGGCTACAGACACCGTCATGGATACTGAGGATCCAAAATGATACGTCTGGGCTGAACGCTTTACTCCGCTGTAACGGGGCTCAGTCTCATGATGGAGTATTGCCTCTGCAGCGATAAAGTGCTCACAGCGAAAGGGTTCCGTTCTCTTCACAATATGGCACCAGGCAGGTGGTTGGTTAGAGTCTTTGGGGGCCTGGGGGACTTGCATTCTGGTGAGATCACTTGCCTGGGGGGGCATGGAGTCCACCAGTGGCCCCCGAGGCTGCGCCATCCCTGGCACAAGGTGAGGAACAGGGGAGCAGAGCACAGGGGGTCTTCTCAGCTGCAGTAGGGTGATAGACTTGGGAGCAGGGCTGTTCCTGCGGAGACCTGCCTTCTGTGGACCAGAGGAGACACGCAGAGCCGGGAGGGAGAGGGGCGGATG